GTATATCGATGATGAGGTGTGAAAATTATTTTAAAAATCATACAATACGATACATATATTCTCGAGGATAGAAATCTAAACCGAGAAAAATTGTTAGCAATCCTCTCGACTATTTGACAATAAAAGAATTTCGCGATTCTGTAGCACGACTTTTTAACACATATTAATATTAATATTTATTGCATGGGAGAAATTTTAAAATAAAAGTCCTTATGTATATTAACAAAAGTAACTCGCACATTTTTCATATATTATTAAAACAATCTTAAAAAATAAAATAAATGAAATATCTAGGCGATGAAGCTATCGAATGAGAACTATAAATTTTCAGCAGAAGATTCTGTTTCGACTTAATCATTTTACAGATTTTTAGATTCTCTTCTAATGTCGGAATTTTCATTAAAAAGAATTATGTTTTCATTCTTTTGATTCATTTATTTATTTATAAGAAAACCTAATAATAATATATATAAACATAATACCCTTTTAAATATAACCTTTTAAAAATCCCTTTAGTACGCAATCAAAAGTATTAAGAAAGAGACATTAGCATATAAGAAATACATAGCTGATTAACATCAAGAGCAATTTCTGTAAATACAAATAATGTTTTATCAATGGAATCAGGTAGCCAATAAAATTTAAATATATTAACTAATATGAGATTTATGATTTAATAAGAATTATCATTTGATAGTAAACAAGATTAGAATAACGCAATTAAGAACTAATTATCTTGGTTTAAAGGTAGCGACTTAATGCTTGTTTGGACTCACTCTTAAATAAAAAAGGCCAACATTTGTATATAGTGCATATATATAGGGTCCCTAGCTATCGTGTGTCAAAAAAACTATAAGTAAATCTTATTAAAATTCACGTAAAATTTCGAAATATTAATTAAATTTAATTCTTTCCACCCTCATCATCGCTTTACTCACCGCTTCGCCATGCACTTAGAATCAGGTTATAGTGAATTGGATGTCGCCGAACGCTTATACTCGCACGGATTAACTGATCTTCTTTAATTAATATCTCAAAATTTTTTTTATTGGTTGTTCACATAATGTATAGGACTTTTTAGTTCGGTTTAACGAGATCTACTTATGATTTTTTTTTACACATGATAACTAGGACACCTTAGGATATATGGTGTATTTTATCATGAGAAGGTGCAATTTATTTATTTATTATGAAATATTGTTTTATTCGTATACATATACATATGTTAAGCTTAAGGTCATTAAGAAAAAAATTAAATTCCCTTCTTTAAAAATTTTATTTTTACAATATTTCAAAGTCTCGCACATCTCAAAAGTAAAAAAAGAGGGCTACACATAATTTAAAATATATATTATTTAGGAGAGCTGCGCACCTTCTATAATATGTCGAAATAACTTGTGATATGTAAGTTAATGTCAACATTTATAAACATGCTACTATATTTCTACGCATTTTCATCAGTATAATTATTTTAATATTTTTTGCATTATATAAATTTGTCTGAACAGATTCAAATTTGACAAGTGTAAAAAAATTAAATATAAGATTTTTAAAATTAATATAAGATTTTATATATACTATATAGAAAATGGCCTATAAAGAAAGTAACTATATAGAAAATGGCCTATAAAGAAAGTAACTCATTGGAAGGAACTCCTTGAGCAGTCTTGATAACAAATTATCTTATAGATATACAAAACATACTTTCAACGCCTATTCAACAATTTCAGAATGCGTGATACTGACATCGGTATGCATCACTTTAGTAGATAACTATTCGTTATCGTAAGGGAAGATCGGAAGATAGAATCCACCAATGTTCGTTCGCATTTATGTCTATCTATCCTGATATCTACCTAGAATGGTTATATGTATGCAAATAGAAAAGAATTTAGTAGGACAGTCTTTAACTGGCGGTTGTAAGTGAAACATCGTGCGTTTCGTTTGTAAGTTTTCGAAAACCGAAAAATATCGAAAATTTTATCAAGACTCGAATTTCTACGAGTAGGCATATGTACATAAGTTCAAAACTTATTGCTCCTGAACAAGATTTCGATCGCAAAGATCACGTCAATCGTACATCGAATTTTATTGCCGAGAAATTGACAAAATATTGTGAAAAATGCACTGGGACCATGGAAACAGTCACCTGCAAAATAGTTGCGATTTTAATGTAATTGAATATCTTGAATGCTTAATAAATTCAGTGACAAACAACGATATAAACATTCAAAGCAGTGGGTTATTTTATAATGACTTAATATCGTCGAGGGATAAGATAAAAACAGAAGCTACGAGACCTGAGTATTCATTTCAACAAAAAGTCCAGATGAAACAACAACAACAAGTGCAACCACAGCAAAGTGAACAATTATATTTTAATTCTGCGACAACAATGGATTATAATCAAGGTATTATGCAAATTTGGATTTGTCACAAATGTCATTACATCAAACTAATATTAAACATATTAAATAATGTGTCATTACATCAAACTAATTATAATAAACATATTAAATAATGTGTATCCAGTTTAATAATGCAATAATTATTGTAAATTTTTGTGTATAAAGTAATTAATTAATTTAATTTTAATCGAAATATTAATTTTTAATGGATTCACAAAATATCATCACAATATCACAACTACTTTAAATAATTTATTTAATTTATTTAACTATTTATTTTATTTAGATTATTTTAGATTATTTATTTAGATTATTTATAAACTTTTATTGATATATGCATATATCGACGATAACAATAGAAAGTAATTGCATATTAGAAAATATATTCGAGAAAGAAAGAGAAAAAAAGAAAAACCAAAATTTCAAAGATATAAAACATATTTTAGCATCTCTTAAAGTGCAGTAAGTTTTTTATTTTTTCCCTTTCTGGCTTTGTTGTTCAAGATTATTAAGGTTATGAAATAAATAGAATAGTAGAAATAGTACAATATAATATGATATTTATATATATTTTTATTCATTAAAATAATGATTTTCTTGTTTCTATGAACTACTTTTAACTCTAACTCTTGCATGTGAATAAAAATATTTTGTTAAAAAAAATATAAAATTTTGTAGTTATTAATTAGAGAGATATAATTTCCTTATTAATGAAAATATAATTCTTACTATTCTATTTTTTTAACAAACTCGTGTGCACATAATTATTCTGAAGACGGGAAGATTTTTAGTTACTTTTCATTGATATCATCAATATATAGTGATTTTTGCTAAGTTGCTACTTTTTTTAGATCACGTCTTATATATTCTTCTTTTTTTTCTTGTTTCACGACGGACCTATTATATGAAGTCCTTGACCTCATAATTATATATTCTGATAAATTATTATCTTATACAATTCTTACAAATTATTATCTTATACAATATTATTATCTTATTATTATTAATATTATCTTATACAATATTATTATCTTATTATTATTAATATTATCTTATTATTATCTTATTATTATTAATATTATTATCTAATATAAGATAAAAATTTATTGAATTAATCTAGCTGGATACGACATTAATTATATTCTAATTTAAATATATGGTATTATAGTATTGTAGTATTATAGTATTAAACATATTGTATTATTATATTATGGTATTGCATTCATAAACCATTATATCTCTAAAAAATTCGTATCAAAGTTATGCATTTTGATATAACATCACTTACGTCTAGATGTTCGTGGCAAAATTTATAAAATTTTCAAGTGTATTATCTGTGTAAATATCTGCATATCTTGATATGTATTTCTTACATTCCTTAGATTTCTTACATTTTTAAAAACTGATAATGTATTTTCAAACTTTCACCTATTGCGCGTTAATTTAAAAAAAAAATGCTGATAAGTTAATGAAAACTAAAAAAGGAAAACCTTGGAAATATAGATTTATTTTTTTATTTAAGATTATCACATATTAGTTATCTATCATTAACAAATTGAATGATTAAAAACAATAAATCGAATAAATAATATTATAATCATTTTCCCTAAATTACAAGTATATTTATTATATAAATACATATTAACAAACTACAAATTACGTTAATTTTTTTCGTAAATATACGATTCCCGTACGTATAGTTGAAATAAACGTCTTTACAAATACATTCAATTTTGGTCAGTGATTAATATTCGATCTTTAATATCGATGACTATCGTTTAATCAAAATAACCCGCCTTTATTGTTCGGGTTTTTGAAACGCAGCAGGTATAGCGGCCTGTTTGTAGACTTCCTACTGAGATTTTTGTACTTGATAATACTTTCCTCTATTATGGGCGTTGCTATTCTCATTTCATGCGTGTCAGACTTTTTCAACGTTTGATCAGAAATTTTTCGAAATTTTTTTTGAAATATTTTTAACATAAAATACTCTATATGTAAATACATGCTATACTAGAATATGTTTGCATATGTTTTGAATTTCTAAAGATAAGATTTTAATTAAAGAACACGTATTTATTTCAAGAATTTGTGCCTAGAGGCAAAGAACAAAGTTTATAAAATTGCTTAATTCTTCTCTTTATCAATTATTTTTGTTTTATCCTGTATTAATCATCAATATTTTATATATACATGACCGATAACTCTGTTCACCTGGAAGATCTCCGTTATTTTTAGAGATACAAAAATTTTTACTTATAAAAGTTGTACGGTATCAAGAGGGCCATAATATGCTACTAATATTTTTTTGTAAGTGGAGACGCTTCAGAGATTTCAAAGTCATCTCCATTTTTTTAAATGGCATGCTATACTTTTTTATTCTTAATGTAATAGCAGATGTTTAGACGATTTCAACGACCTATAATAAGGTCATTCGTCATCAAATAAAAGTGTAAATATTTACATTTCTTACTATAATCTAGCGATATAGTACAAAGAACATTGTATACCAAGAAATACCGACTACAGCGGAAAATATGAAACAACGATTTATTGCAGCATATGGGACAATCAGTCCAGAAACGTTAAGAAATGTACGTGCTTCAGCAATTGAAAGATTTCAGTGTTGCATCGATGCAAACGAACATCACTTCGAGCATCTCTTATAAGCAAGGTAAGAATCATTGTTTTACACTTTTATTTAAAAAGTGCCGAATGACCTTATTATAGGTCGTTGAAACATCCGCTATGACACTAAGAATAAAAAAGTATAGCATGCGATTTAAAAAAATGGAGATGATCTTGAAATCTCTGAAGCCTCTCCAGCTACAAAAAAATATTAGTAGCATATTACGGCCCTCTTGGTACCGTACAATTTTTATAAGTAAAAATTTTTGTATCTCTAAAAATAACGGAGATATTCCAGGTGGATAGAGTTATTGGCCCACTCTGTATTTTAATAATAAAATGCATCTTTTTAAAAAAAATGCAAAAATGCAATGTAAATAAATAAGTGATTATATAGAAAAATACAAAATATATTAATGCACGATTGTTTCGAACTATTTTCCATCTGTATAGTTTAAAATATAACTCTTTTCTTTTCTTTAATCTTGCTGTTTAAGTCGATTTTTAATTATTGTAATTTTATTTTCTCATTAAAAATACTAAAAGTGTATTTTCCACAAGTATATATTGTTCAACAATTACCAACTTTTAGTTGCAGCAAGAAAGCAGATAAAGGCCAAACGTACCAGAACGGCATACACTAGTAACCAATTGTTGGAATTGGAGAGAGAATTCAACGCAGGAGCTTATCTTTGCAGAAAGAGACGCATTAATATAGCGGAAGCTCTCAATCTAACGGAAAAGCAAATCAAAGTATGGTTTCAAAATCGTAGAATGAAGAATAAAAAGGAAACTAAGTCTGAGCCCAACAAAGCGATCAAATTCATTGACGCTCCCGAGAACTCGCCATCTGGTAGTGCGAAAATGCATTCTTCGGAGACAATGGTCTCCAAAACAGACACTAATGATTCCAAATCGTCGACCTGGGTGGTTCCTAAGACCACAGAGACTGCCGGTCCTTCGTACATGCATCCGAGCGACGTGCCGCCGAACAACAGTCAAACCGTAAAAAATTATGGAGTCCTCGATCGATGCAAGGAAGCGCAGAATTACCCTAGCGCGTTGATCGGATCGGCGCAGCAAACGCAAATGCCATCCACCTTCTCTAATATTGTGCAAAATGATGTATATTATGCCCCTGAAGACAAAGGGTATGCGTATCAACAGCCAATCAACTATGGTGTCTTTCAATCACAGCAAAACAACAATTATTGTCAGTGGAATAATTGTCCGCAGGCACAGAAAAGTATCGACTTGCAAAATGCAAATTCTTATGCACCGAAGCTGAATAGCTGTGCACCCAAAGACAACACAAATTGTCTATTGAATCAGAACAAGTTACTGTCTTTTCAAAATGTTTACAATGATCTTTATAATTCTGAGAATTACTTACAGTTATAAGATATCCCCTAAAAAAAACCTTATAAACAAATACGCCAAGTACATAAAAAAAATTAAAAAATCTAAAAGAGATAATTAATTTAGTTAGCTTTTTTGCTATTTTAAACTATATGATTTAAATACGGGGCACGCCAAGTTTTCATATCTTACTTCGATCTGAAGGTCATTTATGCGATTTAGAATTTGTGTTAAGCTTTTTTAAATTATATACATCATATAAAAAAGACTTTAGGAATTAAAGTAATTTTAACTCATTTAGTATCGATTACAAATTAATATAGCATAATTTATTGTACTTAGTAATAGTATTGATCTCATATGTATCTCATATCGGTTTTTAAATATTTTATTTTGATCACTCTTTTAGATTTTTTTATTTTTTTATGTACGTATTTTTTATAAGGTTTTTTTTAGGGGATCTCATTGCTTTTTGTAAAAATTTATATTATTTTTACAAAAAATATATTAGATTTTTTAAAGATATTTTTTTTATATACTTGACATATTTTACATATTTTACTTGACATATATTACATATTTTATTTTTGTTAGGGTTGTTTCTAGAGAGATATTACCAGCTTTTTGTAAAAATTTATATTATTTCTGCAAAAAATATATATGCATTTTTAAAAATCTTTACTAAGGGCAAGTCGCGTATTTTCACAAGATTTCATTTTCTAGATATTTGAGTTCACTCCCAAGGGGTGGTTTTCGAATATTGTTATAATACGATAAATTAGTCTCCTTAGAAGTTTTATCTAACGGCACAGTTTTTATATTTTTGTGATACCGTTTTCGAGATAGATTAGATTTTACCCTCAAGAGATTTTTAAAAATTGTTATACGATAAATTAATCTCTCACACGTATACATACACATATACACATATACACATATACACATATCATACGTATGCACACACATGTACATAAATGGTTTTGTTTCTTAAAGCATTTTTGCACACTAAAGAGAATAATCATATATGCGCGGTATGAACGCAGTTCGAGGGACAAAATCGTTTTGAATGTGTGCGTGCGAAGATACGTTCATGAGTCTGAATCTGAATCTTATGATGGAGGAAAACGAAAAATGTCACATTTCTGGCATGCGATTATCATTTCTCGAGATTGACTGAACCGATTTTATTTAAACTGGTCGCAATCGAAAGCTTGTATTCACATTATATCAGAAAAATGCCCTTAGATTTTTTTATTACGGCTTTCGTTTCTGAAATATTTTAATCGAAAGTTTATTTGACGTAAAATTTCGAATAAGCTATTTGGTAACATCGCATCGAGGATAGTGACTCTCAATGCTCGGATTCTTGCTCAGTTCTTTTTCAGTTTTTTATGTATTTGACGTCGCGACGCGGTAGCGTCGCTTGATTGACTATATTATTAATAGAGATATTAATTAAATTCAAGAGATCATTTACACAATTAATGACAATCAAATTTTATGACCTGAATAACAACATTTATAATTTATATTATAATTTATATAATAAATATTTATTATAACTTGCATCATGCATATTCGATATTTTTTAATTTTATTCGATATTGTTTAATTGCATATAAAAACATCATTATATGTCGCGTGCGATAAAGCTTTGTCTGATTAAAAAAAAAAAAACATTTTTATCAATGAAAGAGATAAGATAAAACAAGAAACTATATAACACGTGGTTAAAAAAATAAAATTAATTTCTAAATTCCAAAGATAATAAAATAATATATAATATAAAAAAATATATATATAATATATATAATAATATACTTTTATAATATAATTAATATTATTTTTTTTAAAGAAAAATTATATATATTACCTACAAAAATGATATACATGTGTGTGTGTGTGTGTGTGTGTGTGTGTGTGTGTGTGTATACACACACACACACATATATATATATATATATATATATATAACTTTGTATGTAATATAGCTTTTTCTGCTGCGTATACATATTTGACTAATGATTCTTAATGAATCATTTGATGATCAAATTTTTTTTTCTTGATTAGAATTATTAACTAATATTTGAATACTATTTAACTAAAGTTAATGCAATGCAAATAATGTTATGCAATTAAACAATATCGAATGATATTAAAAGATATCGAATATGCATGATGCAAGTCATAATAAATATTTATTATATAAATTATAATATAAATTATAAAATAAATGTTGTTATTCAGGTCATAAAATTTGATTGTCATTAATTGTGTAAATGATCTCTTGATAGCTGTTTCGTTAAACGGTTTGCCAAATTCTCAATTGATTAAGACAAATTTGGTTGAATAGTTTGATACCAACTATAACTAAAGTTAAATAGTATTAGTTGGTAATTCTAATCAAGAAAAATTTTACTAAAGTTAAATAATATTTAAATATTTAACTAAAGCTTTGGCTCTTCTGAAAGCGATCATGCCGATTTGAGTCAAATTTTGTAAATAGGTTCCTTTTAGGTATAAAAGAAGTATACGAGAAGAATTTTTGGCGACTCGAAAATTAAGGTACTTTTTAAGCCCTTTTTCCTAAAAGTGAATATTATCTTTAGACAGTTTGTTCGAAATGATTTTGTTATTTTTTATTGAATATTCTGGTAGCTACGTCGAGAGCTTTCCAAAACACTACAATTAAGTTAGTTTTCATTAAGTATTTTCCGAGTTATGAGGCTTGAAATCATTTCTTAATTTTACGTAAACCGTAAAATATCTTGTAAAATATTCATTTTTTACAAGATACAAGATTATCTCCTATCTTAATACTTTTATGTACAAAATAATGAGAGGAATCAATTGGTGTAAAGAAAACATATAGTTGTTCTTTAAAAAAAATATGTAATTGTTAATTGCAAATTACATATTTGTTCTTAAAAACAACTATGTTCCTATCCTAAGTCAGTGTGAAGCGAGGTCTATTATTAAGTAAGATTCTATGTTTGTAACTTTCCATGCAAAGCGAGGTCTACACCACATCACTTTTGACCCCCCCTTCCGCAATCACCCCGCTGGTAGGCAAGGTGGACCTCGCTTTTAAGTAGTCGGGGGGCTATTCTAAAACATATTTAAAATTCATTGAAATCGGTGATCTCGCTACCTGATACTCCCCTTCTTAGAGCATATATCCATTGTGATTGAACTCTTCATAAGGCGGCTCTTACCGGCGGAGTGGTTGCGCGAGGGGAAGAGGCCATAGGCCCCCCTTGAACCTCCCCCCCCCCGTGTGTGTGTGCATGCGTGTGTGTATGTGTGTGTGTACACATACATTTGTATATAAAATTAATAAAACTTTACCAATTAAAACTTATTAAAGATTATTCAGGGTCATGATCTTAATTACATATGTCAAGACCAAAATCATTGGTGAGGTTGCCATTTTTTTAGATATTTACTGTTTCGAACAAGCTGTTTAAAGATAATATATCACTTTTACGAAAAAGTGCCTTAATTTTCGAGTCGCCAAAAATCCTTTTCGTATACTTCTTTTGTACCTAAAGCAACCTATTTACAAAATTTGACTTAAATCGGAGCATGATCGTTTTCGGAAGAATAGCCAAAGCTTTTCCAATATTAATATCTTTATATTATACATTATTGGTATCAAACTATTCAATGAAATTTGACTTAACCAAGTGAGAATTTGGCAAACCGTTTAACGAAACGACTGAGTCGTTATACACAGTATTCATGTAATAACTATCAAATTATTACATACATTTACAATAATTCTTCTGTGTATTTATACGGGTGTATCTAAAATGATGCACTCATAATGATGCGTCATAATGATGTTATTATGAGTTTCATGTACTGAATTATTAATAAAAATATTTATTAATAATCTACGAAAGTGACAATAAGTTTCCATTAAGATTATATGGAAATAATAAAGACGTATACAAATAGATATATAAAACTGTATATACTAGAAATATATGAATGTATATGTATGTATATGTGTATGTATATTGTTTAAATATTTTCGATTAATTATTATTTGAAAATATATAGTGCAATAAGAAAATAAAGTGCAATAAAAACTAAAGTTAAAGAAACACAAAACAATGTTAGAAATAAGAAATAATGTTATTGCGATAGCGAACAAAAGAACCACCTATATCTTATATGAAAAATGTGGCTTCGGTCAAACTGGCTGAAATTGAAATATGTTATAATTTAGGTGGTGCTGATCAAAAGTTTCCTGCGGCAAAAAGTTAAAAGTATAAAAGATATGATGATTTGAAGTGGATGGTATTGAAGTTTAAAAAACATCTGTTTCTGAATACATAGATTAAATTAATATATAAATGTTTAAAGAAAAAATATTTATATATATTATAATAGGTGTCATTTCTACAATATTTAATGATTCTAAACTTTTTTTGTCATGCGTGTCTGTTACGCAGAGACCAGATACAGACAGCGCACACACATACGCACGCACGCATATATAATAGAAAAGATTTAGAATCGTTAAGTAATTGTAAAAATGACACATATTATATATAAATATTTTTTCTTCAAACATTTGCAGGGTCGGTCCTTTCTACTAACAATATAATATTCAAGGAATACAATTAATATTTTATTAATCTATTATAGATATTAATCTATTACCCATATTTTCTATAATATCTATATTATAGATATTAATCTTTATTAATTTATTATAGATATTAATTATAGATTTAGAATATATAGATTTTATAAGGAGAGTTATTGTAAAAATAACAATTTTATTCTTATAAAGTTAATTGATATTTACAAATACAAACTTAGTAATAAAAATCTCATTTTTCCCAAGTTCTGAATTATGAATATGTAACATATACTTGTGAGATATTTTTATTTAAAGAGATGTGTGTGTCTTCGATAAATCATTAAAATTTTTTACGCCTATAAGAAATACTCTCTCTCTCTCTCTCTCTCTCTCTGTCTCTCTCTCTCTCTCTCTCTCTCTCTCTCTCTATATATATATATATATATAT